GGGGCCGCGGGCCGCGCCTCTCCCCGGCTGCGGGCTCCCCGATGCCCACCCCCGGGCTCCCGTTGCGGGCGGATCTGTGGCTCCCGGAGCCCGAGCGGATGCAGCTATAGAAAGCGCGCGCGGGAGCCCGGGAGCCGGGAGGCCCGAGTAACCTCGGCATTTGGGGGACGTGTTGCTCTTTCGCTTCCAAACTCACATCTGTTTGTACAGTGCTGGATGCAGACAGAACTCAGCAAACAAATCACTGCCGGAACAAAACCCTTTTAGGATGCACGCAGGGCTGGCTGCAGATGGACCTCCAGAATTCTTTTGGGTCCACTTGGATGAAATCATCACGGTTTAATGTGATCTAGAACCGGGGTGGACCTGACTTAAAAGTGTTATACCTATTTATTTTTATTTTGTTTATGGAGTCATAGATTCCCCCCCCCCCACCGTGTGTATGAGAGTATGTGTGTGGCAGTTTTTACAGAAAGGAAGCATACATCACTACCAATATGGCATCTTAAAATATATAGAATCAAACATGCTGTAAAGATTTTGTAGTCTCTCCAGCGGGGTTGGCAAAGATTTTCACTGCACTCTGCATATTTTATCAGAACATGGTGTGCGATAATTCATGCACAAAAGTTTACCACACATTTTTTTTTGCATGTTGGGAGCTATTGCTTTATTAAAAGTTTGTTAAAGGGGGAAATATGGATTTTTAAAGGATTTGCTCAAGCGTGGTCAGAATAAATTTTGAATTCTAGACTCTTGAACAACCGGAGAAATGCAGTTGTGATTGTCATCCAGGGAGGCATTTCTTATTAGTAACACCTGTTTGTGAACCGGAGCTGTCTCTGAGTGGTGAAGAGGAGCTAATGTGTTACCTCAGTCAATATACTGATTTTCTTTTTAAAAAATGACTGCATATACTTAGATTTTTTTCAGCTTATAATTTTCACGTGGGGCAGATAGACTGCATTTGGTATTCCACTGGCCACTGGGGTACTTTAGAGTATAGACTCATGGGAATGTTTTTGCTCCCGGGTAGGTTGAATAGATTCTTCAATTAGCTCTTTGAATAGTTTCCTTAATTGTCTGATAATCCATCATGTCTGAACAGCTACTTTTGCTGTCCAAGGTAGGTGTAACCTTTAGCATGCTTCTGGTAGAATTCTTATGTTGGCTGTGAAAGGCATGAGGCTCCAAAGAAGTGACACCCAGGCACAAAGCCTTTCCCGGTCTCACATGTGGACCTGTGATGGATGGTGTGATCTTGAATAAGAAAATGGGGACTGGGATTTTACTGGGGCAGTGCTTTGAGGTGGGGCACCCAGGTTATTTAGTTCTGTCGTGAATTTGGTTTACTCGTGAGTGTTTTGGTCTCTTGCCTTCTGTTGGCTGCCAGCTTAGGGATGCTGGTATGCTGTTTGGCTGGTAGTGAGGATGCTGGAAGGTGAACCTAGTTCTTTGGTGCTGGAGCGGAGACAACCTGAAGGAAACAGCTTTGAAATCAAACAATCCTGGCACTTTCCACAGCACAGACAGTTGTCAATCTGCTTCCCTTAGAGTTGACTCCGCAGTGGTTAATTTTTCTTTGGGTTACCTTAATGACCAAAGTTTAGAACCAAAGAGACTTTGGGGGACAGAAACGGCTGTTATCCCAGGATGTCTAAGGCAACAGATGTGTTGATGTGAAATGATTCAGTAAGTTTCCATTAACTGAAAATATAAATGAGTGCCATTCGGTTGATTACTGCGATGATTCTGTTGAAGCAGCGTGTCACAGGGATGCCATCTCAAGAACTAAAGGAAGCATTTGAGTCTTTCATCAGCGACACTGGGAAGAGAGCCCTCTTGCCTTTTAAAGTAGAGATTTGCATCTCCATGGTCCGATCCCAGCAGGGTAATACGTGAGCTCACACGTTTTCCTATGTCCAGCTCGCTTCGTGCTTTCTCAAATGACAGGAACTCAAACGCTCTGTGGTTGTACTGTATCAGCCGACGAAGAGGCAACACACGCTTACCGACTGAACAGCCACGTGACAAGACACAGGCGGAAGATGACACACCAGTGAGAGAGATTCCCCTTAGCAATGAGATCCCTAATCTCCCCTCTCAACTTTGTTCCTGTTCTCCCCTCTGCTTGGTTTCTAATGACTACTAAATAGGAAGTTCTGAAGTGTGTGTGTGTGTGTGTGTGTGTGTGTGTGTGTGTGTGTTTGTGTATGCATGCACACATGGGTGCAGGTGCATGCATCTCTCCATATGTGTGCATCTGTACATATGTGTATGAAGGGTAGAGGCTTGTGTCTGTGTCTCTATCATTCTTGATATCACTTTTGAGATAGAGTCTTTCTTACTGAATCTGGGGCTTGCTGTTTTGGCTAGGCTGACTGGGTGGTGACATCACCCTGCCTCCCAGGTTCTGGGGTTACAGATGTGTGTCATTGCACCTAGGTGACTCTTATGGTAGGTGCTGGGGATTCCAACTCAGGTCCTCATGCATGCATGGTTTACCCACTGAGTCATCTCCCTAGTCCCACAAAATTCTTTTTAATGCTGTAATGGTAGCAGTGTTTTGAAAAGTGGACGATAGCTATCCTTTTTTTAAAGTTTTTATTGTTTTATTTATTTTTAGTTTTCATCACATTTATTTATGTATCGTGTGTGTGTGTGTGTGTGTATGTGTGTGTGTGCGCGCGCGCATATGCGCTCTTGTGCAGGCCAAAGTACAAAATGAGGAAATATGTTCTTTCCTTCTACTATGTGGGTACGAGGTATGAAACTCAGGTCATCTGTGTTGAAGACAAGCACTTTTGCCCACTGAGCCATCTACCAAATCTTATTTTATTTCCTTTGTTCATTTTTGTGGTGCTGGGAAGCAAACATTTTCATGGGTACCCATAGTACCCCATTTCCCTAGCCCCTGGCCATCTACTTCCTGTTTCTGTGGATTCTGGATATTTTTTTAAAAGTACATTTTTAAAATGATGTGTTTTAATTATGCACACGTGCATGTCTGTTGAGGGTATGTGCCTATGGCTGCAGGTGCTTTTGGAAGCCTTACAGTGGACTTTTGCAGAAGTTCCTGAGCTGTCTGACATGAGTGCTGGAGATCAAACCTAGACCCTCTGAGGCTGCTAAGCCATCTCTCTAGT